ACACGGAGGCTTAGAATATTTACAAACAGAGCATTACGACTTTCGCTATAATGCTCCTTTTAGAATATAAATATAGCAAATCTTAATCAGAAATGGAATTATAATGATTTCAAATGCAATTGCCATCCTGACAGAAAAAAAAAGCTGAAAAAAAGAAACGCAAATGTTTTTAAAAAGTAAAGGGAAGAGAAGGAGAAAAGAATACAGGAAAGAAAGAGGATAAATAGAATACCAGATAACTACTAAAAGCGTGTTTCGATCAACCGAGGGAACATTTTCTATCAGTTATCCCTATGTAGAGGTACGTTCAAGAGCGGCGTGATGCAAAGCCATGTGACAGGTGGGGCAACTGTCCTTGGAGGTTTAAAATCTGAATGTTTCTGTAAAGTCACGTTGCAACAGCCAATCAGGTACTGGATGTAGCTGTGACGTATCAAAATGGAAGAGAGAAGAAAATACGTTGATATAAGATGAAGTAAGAAAAGAAAAAGAGATTAGTGGTCTAAAGTTGATGCTTCATCCTAGAAAAACTGACTCTGTTCTTCATCTAAAAGCCTAAAACAACAACAATGTCCAAAATATTAATCTAACAGTAATCAGGACCCCATCCCCCCAACATCTAAAGTGTTTGTCTCTCCATGTGGGAGTCTGTCCTTTGTCCTTTGGTTATAGATTATTAAAGATGGGATGAAAAGGCAGGGAGGGGGGCTAAGCTGTCCAAAGCCCTCTTCTTGATGAAGTGAGCCCAGCAGGGACAAAAACCTTCAGACAAAGAAAATAACAATATGTGAAAGGCTGGAATAGGCCAAAATCATTGGTAATATTTATTTATACGGGCATTCTTAAGCTGTCTAACTGCTGCTTTTTAAACAGAAAAGAAATATCATGTGTCCACTGTTTGAACTCCCACTAAAGAATTATGGATAAAGTAATATTGTCTTAAACAAAAAATCATATAAAAAATACCAACTTAGATATGAATATCTTGTGCTCATAAATTGGTTTATTACCTTGTCATGGTTTTGGTGATATTGTGTTTCCTAGTTTTATTGGTTTAATTCCTTTTTTGTTGCAATTTCTAGATTTGTCAGTTCTCATGTTTTTCTGTTGTCCTCTGTTGTCCTCTTGTGTGTGTTCCTTTCCCCTTGGCTCCCTCGTTGTCTCCTCTCACACCTGCTCCTTGTCAGCTCGTTAGCCCTGCCTTTGTCTCTGGCCCCGTCCACACGAAGTCAAAACGAACACGAAACGCTAATATTTTCCAGAACGTTTGCCGTAAAGACGGAGACGTAAAATAAATGTGATCGACCACACGAATGCATGAAAACGCTGCAAAATGTATGCCAGGCCTGTAAGTGGCGCTGTGGTGCCAAAGCAAAAATAGGCGAAAACAGGCAACGAAATGTTGGGCATGCGCACTAATATTTATACAACAACCAAACAGGAAAACCGGAAAATGGCCCTGCGGGTCCATTTTCGTGGTTCAGTCAAATTCAGGTGTTGAACTATGTCGTCGATATTGCTCGGTTCTTCCTGGAGATATTCCAGAAGAAGAAGATTCTGTTGTAAGCCCGACAGCAGGGTGAGTAGCATTAGCAGCAACCATTCAACACAGTACGGCGCCATTGTTGTTGTGATACTGTGTCGCGCATGCGTGTTTAGAGGCGACGCTATGACGCATGCGTGTAAAAAAAAAATGCGGTTAGAGCCTAAAGATGGAAACGCGAAAACGGCGTTTCTAAATCTTCCCACTCTGAAGGCTTAATAAAAAAAAGATTGTTTACAGACCCCCGAAACGCCGGCTTCGTATGGATGAGAGGCTGGTTTGGTGAAAAATTTGTGCGTTTAGGCCAGGGTTTGACTTCGTGTGGACGGGGCCTCTGTCAGCTACATATGCTCTAGCCTGGGTGCCATTCCGAACTTAGTCCCGCCCACAACGTTTGAGGTCGGGAAGTTCGGTCTGGCATTGCTCAATAGTAGCGCGAGTATGCTAGCACAATATCTGGCGGGCCAATCAAATTGTCAGGGCGGGCTTTATACGATGATGGACAGATGATCAACAGTAACGTAATCAACCACGTCACCAAAGCGCGCTTGGGTGACAACAACAATGGCTGCCGCTGGAGAGTTGAGGTGAGTAGATTCTGCTATTAGGTCTGTTCTAGAAGATATCGACAGCAAATTAATTTTAAAAGAGGAACAGAGAAACTCGATCAAGGCTTAACATACGTCACGCACTCCGTTGCTCTTATTGGTTGTAGGTCTATCCAATTGAGTGCAGAGGCATTTTTTTTCCTGGTTCGTTCGAAACACGCCCCATAATCACAGCTCTATGGAGCAGTATCAGACTCATTCTGACTAGAATTGAGTAGGACTACGTCAGGCTACATATGCTCTCCCTCTGCTCTCACTCTTGGTTGGTTCCTTGTTGTTGCTGGTCCTGTCGTCGCCGTTGTCCTCTCACCTCGTCTCTCCCTGGCTCCTTGTGTTTCCCTTGATGTCTCAGTGGTTCTGGTCTGAGTTACATTTTAGTTGGATTTTTGGATTCCTGCCTTTGTCAACCATTTTCATCATTAAAACTACCAAGTATTCACCTCTGCCTCTGCATTTGGGTCCTCAAAACCACAACCAAACCCTGACAAACCTTGTCAAAATCCATTTTACTCTTTCTTTAACAGGCCACTGGATTTAAATTTTCAAATTTTTCAAGTTCATAATGCTATGCTTAAAAATCTGTTTCACAGTAACACAGCATAAAAAGATAGACTATATTTAGAGCAAGCATGAGGTATTTTTTTTCTAAATGTCTCCTTTGTTTAATGCCACCCTCAACTGGAGAGGTTTTTCTTTAAAAACATATAAAAACTATTTATCGTTTCATTTCAGTCAGACACATTTATTCATTTCAGTCAGAGAAAAGAAAAGGCATTTTGCTGGTTTTGTTCCACAACACCAGCTGAAAGTTGTTAAAAAAATATTATTTATTTTTTTATGATTAGTTATTTAATATAGTTTAATAGCCATTCCGATTCAATTCAGTTTATTTCTATAGCGCCAAATAAAAAAACATGTCATCTCAAGGCACTTTCCAGTTTACCAGATCATCCAGTGAGATTGATTCAAAGTTTTCTATCTGAGGAAAACCTGTTGATTGCATCGATTCATTGACTCTTCAGCAATCCCTCACACTAAGCATGCTTGTAGCGACAGTGGAGAGGAAAAACTCCCTCTGAACAGGAAGAAACCTCCAGGAGAACCAGGCTCAGTGTGAGCGGCCATCTGCTGAGGCCGACTGGGGTTCAAGGACATCCAGCCAATCACAGTCAGAGAAACAGGACTACACTGAAAAACAGGCTGATTAGATTTATATCACAAAGTAAAAACGATACGATTATTTAAAAATAAAGCAAAAAACTACTGTATATTAATAAAAAATGCTTCAGCGGTGTTTCACCAAGCTTTTCAAGCAGTTATTTGTTAATGCAGCCTTTTTTCACTCATTCAATAAACTTAAAGTTTGGACCTTTTTAAGTTTTAGGAAAGTAAAAGTATTCAACTGCAATTAAAATGAGAAAAAAAAATATTTCCTTGTTTTAATTAGTTATCTAACCAATTCAAATATAGATGTTGATTGAATATTTATATGTGCTGATTTTGCTTCACAAGAAAGAAATTCATGCGTTGATGTATTTATTGATTTCTTCATTTGTTTAATGGTTTATTTATATGTTTTGTTATTCATTATAACAATTTTCATTTAAAAAATATTTTGCCTACTTGTTTAGGTCAACTATATTATTTCTTTATTTATTCTCTTTATTTATTATTTTTTCTTTGGAGCTTTCTTACTTAATTGGTGGTTTATTTTTTTATTTGTAAATAATTAATCATATTTTCTAACTTGGCGTGGTAGTTTTATTTTCATTTTATTATTGTCTTTATCACCGATTTCTTTTACTTTTTTGAACTAACACGGACAAAATAAGGTTCTGTATTTTAAATATGTCCTCCCATCTTTACCAGTTAAATATCTGGATCACATGCATCAACATAGCAGGGATGAACTGGGAGCGACTATAATAGATCCAGTTCATACTATTAATTTAGAGCAATTATTAACAGGATTTGTGATTTAGTAAAGCATTAGTGGAGCCCCTGACAGTCTAACTTGTGTAGCATGTTTCTTTATTTAACATTCTCCTTTACATCATGTTATTAAGGCAGAAATACTTCATAAAGCAATCTGTTTTAATGCCCTAAAAATATGAGCAATCATACCCTCCTAGGGAACAGAATGATAAAGCATAATCTAGGAGCTGTAATATCTTTGGTGCATTTTGGGCCAAAACATCATCCAGGAAGCTGTTGAAGCCAAATGGCTGCAGGGATTATTCCCTGCTGAGCCTCAACCAATAAAGCTGCAAGGTCCAGAGAGACAGAGAGTCGTGGTTTGAAGGCAGAGGAGGACAGACGGGGGCAGAAAGGGAAAGAGAAGGTATGTGAGAGAAAGCAGACACTTTTATTTCTCTCCTGTGGAATGCTGCTCTGTCAGAGAGGGCCTAATCTACACCTCATCTCTGACTCACAGATGAGATCATCTGTCTTGAGCCGGTTTCAGCTTTAAAAACACACAAAAACACTTTGCCATAGGGACACCCTTGGAAAATGAGAGGCTGTACTTAAAAAAAAAAAGTCAATAGGCCTGTACCTGCAGGCTGGCGGAGCAGTAATGGTAGCATTGTTGCCCTGCCAAGTAAGCGTTGGCTTCCTCCAAATCCGCCGGTGACAACTAGCACAATAGTCAACTTATGCCTGCCGAGGAAGGCCCCAGCATGGTGTCAGACAGATAGGTTAGAGTTATCCGCTCAATAAAACTTCAAAGAGCATTCTTGGATTTCTAAAGCGCTAGTGGGTGCTGATATGGACCCTATCAGGGGAATGCCAGCAGAGCCCCTGGGTTACAGACGGGCCTCTAGATGAACGAGCCAACAGATGGGTGTCGTCATCTCAGGCTGAAGGGGCTGCATTTGACAAAAAGCAAGAACAAACTCAAGGTATGTCAGGCGGGTGATGAAATATCCAAAAGAGTCGTTTGGGGGGGATGTCACTGCGCTGTGAAAGGTTCTGTCTGTAGTAATTCATCGCACAGAGATTTTCATTTGATCTAGAAGTAGGACTTTGGTCCTGATAAGGCCAAGCGAGGAGAGACGTCTGGCTGAAAAATCTACATCAGAGACATGTGAGAGGCTTTCAACCAGAACATGAGGTAAGAATTAATTAGAAATGGAGTCGATTTTGTTTTGATCATAACCTCTTACATTTTATTGTTAGATTGTGTTCTATTTTAAAACAAAAGAGCACCATAAAGGTATTATAAACACATTCCGTAAAGATTCAAAAATATCCACTGCCGTTAGGGGGGATTGTCTCCTGTAATACCTGAAACCTGTCTATGATTGTTAAGAGTCGGCCGTTAAGGAGGTATACAATCCCCCTCTTAACGGCAATCCCCCCCCCCCTTTAACGCCCGACCCTCAGAATCATAGAGAGGTTTCAGATATTACAGGCTTCAAATCTTGGAAACCAAGTCCAGTGGATATTTTTGAATTTTTACGGAATGACTATGACCTGGATGACTGAAAACCTTCATTAGCATAATATAAACAAAAAACTAGCTATGTTTATCTGCAAATAAAGTGAACAGAAATATCTCATTGCAACAATTTTTTTTGTTTTATATTTATTATATTGAACTTTTGTTGTTTTCATAATTTTGTTTTTTACTTTTGTTGGTAGCAAAAAGAGCTACTGATGTACAGAACTCTATAAGTCTTATTCAGTACTATAATTTGTTTTAATAATTTTTATCATAATTACCTCAAGCTACATGGCTTAGAACCTCATCTTTGTTTAAAGGCCACCCTCAAGCTGCTGGTAAATCATGCAATCTGCCGTGTTAATGGGGCAGAAAGTGGTTTACATATTTTTACACCCACAACTAGGATGGCCAAATGTTCAGCTCGGTGTGTGATACTCTGTCATGTTTTGCTTCTGGGCGACTCAAAATTGAAGCAATATCCCGCATCTGACTTGTTCAAATTAGAATAAAAGTAGAAAAATATTATATTGACAGGCGATTTTCCCAAATGCAAAGAAAGCAGAGCTACAATCATTGTCACAGAGCTGCGCCAGTGACCCATGTCATCACCAACCTGCACACGATGCTCATTAAACAAAACATCCTAATGAACTTTATACAATGCATGAGGGAAACTACATGTAAAGAAAAGAGCTGCTTCAAAATTCAATTTAATATAAGGGGAGAGAAACGTGAAGCAACAAACATACTGTATGCTTTAGAGCTCAACTCAAACTATGGATGAAAACTAACCAGTCATGTGACCACTAAACGTTTAACATTTTCTTGTGATGCTTATATTGTATATTATATGTTCTTTCTTATGTATTTGCCTGCCTAGGGACTCCGGATGAAAACTAGCTTTGTAGCCATAATCCGGCATATTTACATTTGTTTTTATACTGATGTTCATTAATGTGATTTCTCCCTATTTAAATAAATACATAAAGAAACACAACTGGAAAATGCCAGCCATTGTCCCTCATAAGGATCCTAGTTGTCCCATTTAGTTTTTTTGAGATCCAGTCATCTACCTGCACTTAATGCACATACTTAAAAAAAATCATGTGCAATTTATTGCCCCTCCTTTGGGATTTTTGGAGATTCAATTCAACTCAATTGAGTTTATTTATATAGCGCCAAATTCACAACACATGTCATCTCAAGGCACTTTACAGTTCAACCAGATCATCCAGTCAAATTGATACAAAGTTTTCTATCTAAGGAAAACCAGTTGATTGCATTGACTCATTGACTCAAATACAATCCCTCACACTAAGCATGCTTGTAGCGACAGTGGAGAGGAAAAACTCCCTTTTAACAGGAAGAAACCTCCAGCAGAACCAGGCTCAGTGTGAGCGGCCATCTGCTGAGGCCGACTGGGGTTCAAGGAGACAGAAGCAGAGATACAAAAAGCAGCTGTAAAAGGCGGCCCCGTCCAGGAAACACACAGCCAGGCAGACGAGCTCCAAGGCAGCTCCCATGCCAGAGGACGAAGAGAGCACATCCAGTTAGTCACAGTCAGAGAAACAGGACTACACTGGAAAACAGGCCGATCTCCAACATCTACACTGCAAAAACGATCTAGAAATAAGTAAAGATTTCTTTAATTAAGTGTATTTACCCTTAATTTGAGTAGGTAAGTAATAGGATTTGCCAATGGAATGAGTATTTTTACTCTTAAAATAAGACAATTAGATAAAATTCACTTGAAATAAGACAATGCAATTATTTTTTTTCTTATTTTAAATGTAAATGATCTTGTTCCATTGGCAAAGTGTCTCACTTACCTCCTCAATTCAAGAAACCTCCTCATTAAGATTGAAATTTTTTGCAGTGTAGAAACAAAGGTGTTGCAGCGCAGCCAACACCTCTCTGCAGGGTGATAGGGAGAAGCCTCTCTTTCACTGTTCACATTCACTGGAATATAGTTTCTACGAAAAAAATAAGGTATGAAGGATAAAGAGAGCACATCCAGCCAGTCACGGTCAGAGATTGGGTGTGAGGGTTTGCAGAAGAGTCAACAACAAAATGTAAGCGAATATCGCCGCTGCGAGCTCATCCAGGAGGATCATGTCCTGCAAGTCAATGACTCTATGCAATCAGATAGACATTTTTTACCAATCTGACTGCGTTGTCGTTGTAAAGTGCCTTGAGATGCCATGTGTTGTGAATTGGCACCATATAAAAAGATTGAATTGAAATCAAATAAAAATGAAGATCAAGCCCTTATTTTTTGTAAAAAGGTAAAAAAAAAAAAAAAACACCTCTGCAAGATTAAAGACTTCAGGCTGGAGCAAAAGTTCCCCCTCCAGCTGGACGACGGCTCTAAACATACAGAGCTACAAAGGAACGCTTTACATCGAATCATCTCTTCCTCTAATAAGAGGAAAAGTGATTTTACAAAGAAAGATGAGCAAACAATCTAATCTCTAGATGTGTACAGCTGCTACAGAAAAAACCCAGTAAAGTCCTGCAGCTGCAACTGTGCTAAATAGTGGTTTCATAAATATTGACTCAAAGGGTTTATTAAAGACTCTTATCCCAACAATCCAACTTACAATTATGCACTAGTTTGTGTTGGCCAATCACATCAAAAACTATAAATATTTCAATGATTAAGGTTGAAATCTGACAAACATAAGAAGTAAGAGTAAGAATGTTTTTTTCTAGGTGCAGTAAATTATGGAGGATAAAAAGTGCCAAAATTGAATAAATAAATACAGCATTAAATAAATAATTAAATGTGTGAATAATTAATTAAATGTGGAATTAAATAAATAAATGTGTCATTCATTAATTAAAACCACGTCACTCATATAAAGTGCCACAATTAAATAAATAAATACACCGATAAACAATTAATTAAATGTGTAATTCATTAAATAAATAAGGAATTAAATATATAAATGTGTCATGTGACCAATCAGGTGTTAGATAACACCTGATTGGTCGGCCTGCACATTAAGGCGAAGCAAATCGATTACAGAGACACGATTCGCGTTAACCCCCCCCCCTAACTTTGATGGGTGAGTTTGACAGATTCTTTTAATGGTTTCGATGCACTGCGACACAGGACCATGAAATAATTAAATGCACACTGAAAAAATTAAATTAAGACGTATTTTATTAAATTAATGACACATTTATATATTTAATTCCTTATTTATTTAATGAATTACACATTTAATTAATTGTTTATCGCTGTATTTATTTATTTTATTGTGGCACTTTATATTAGTGACGTGGTTTTAATTCATGAATGACACATTTATTTATTTAATTCCACATTTAATTAATTATTGTCACATTTAATTATTTATTTAATGCTGTATTTATTTATTTAATTTTGGCACTTTTTATCCTCCATAGTAAATAGCTGGAAAAGTATTAAAAGATGCAAAAAAAATGAACTAGGGAATAAAATCAGGGTTCAGTGAAAGTGAAAAAGCAGAAAGTAGGTTGACTGGCATTCTGATCAATAGAGAAACAAAAAAAGAAAGCAGAGATTATTGATTTCAATCTCTTTGGGCCGTGATGAAGCGCAGGCCGCAATTCAGACAATCGACCATTAATTATTAGTGATCCTTTAACTATGTTCAGCTAGATACGTCGAAAATGGTGGAGGGTTTTCAAGCAAGTTTAAAAAGACCTGATGAAATAAAAGGAAAGTTGGATGTACTGTGAAACTGGGGCTGCAGTGCATTCTTCTTCAACGGCTTATATAACACGAGCAGCGGTTGAACAGCCTGCAGCTCAGGTGGACATTTGCTGAGTGACATTGTTGAGAAAACTAAAAACTGCCACTGAGCAGAGACATTAATCTCTTGCTCTGTGTTTGGATTACCTGCAGCTACAACGTAGAACTTAGATCCAGATGACTTGTATAACAAAACAGAAACAGACAAAATATGCGGCTCTGCTGACAATGCAAGGCTGAATTCAGGTTGAATTCAGAGAGATGACAGGGTGCACACACAGACACACACAAATGAAACACCTGCTACTGTATGCAGACAAGAAAGAGATGAGAGAGGATGTGGGATAAAGGAAGTGGCAGCACTGCACCTGTGAGTCAGAGATTTCTGAGGGTTTCTCAGTCAGGTTTGTGCTTTCTGCAGGGATCAAGTCATTGTATTTGGTGCTCACATCCTCGTCTGAATAGTGGAGACTGCCTGGACTGGGTCTGGGTGGAGACCTGGACAAAAGAAAAAAGGAATATCCAAAACCCAAGTCAGTTGTTCTTCATCTGACTGTATATAGCTTTCTGAATTTCATTTACATGAATACATTTGTAATGATTCTACAAAACAAAAAGATCTTATTTGCAGGGAACTGACACACCTACCTCTGTCCATGGTACATGAAAATGAGACTACAAAGACAGAATGTTTCTTAGGTACAGTATTATTAATATTTCAAGCATTGGACAGCCTTTAGAACAGGAGGGCATGGCTGCCCACCTGTCAGACACCTGACCATACAGGCAGGGAAAAACAGCCAAGAGATTTAAGAAGAACTGCAGACAATGAATCCAGCAGGAGGATCTCATAGAATGGAGATCCTGCTCGGTCCATCGTAGTCTTTATTAAGTCCAGAAATAGTTGTTGAAAAGTGGGCTGATTATGTCCCACTTAAAGGCAGAGTGGAGGATGTTCTTTTTCCAGGTAGATAATCAAAATTAGTGGACCTCCTAGCTGTCAATCATTCTGGTGATGTGTTTATGTAAGGCTGTCCTACGTCCTGATGTAGTGGGAACATTGCTAATCTTTTGGAAAGTAAGATTGTAGGAGCGATGCAAACAGCAACTTGTAAACAGAGCGTGAATGAGATGTTTTCTCCTTCTTATTAATCAGGTTTTCTTGCAGACAAAGGTGGAAGAAAACCTGATAAAAGCTGCAGAAAGACGTGAGACTGGAGAGGAAGTCAGCAGCGAAAACTCTGGTCATATTCAGAATTCAAACTTCTGAAAGTTCTTTAAATATGAAACTATTCCATCCTGTTCAATAAATGATCAGTGTTTTTAATTCAGAGTAATTTTCATTTGAATGTGCTTTACTGGAGGCATCCATGTTTGTCAAAGAACACTACTGCCACCTACTGGTTAGTGACGTCACGGTGCGGTATCGGCTGTTGATCAAGTCCCAGTGCTGGCACTGGTGTTTGTCACAACGCGCTATTATCCAAGTCATCTTGGAAACATTCTTCTTCCAAATGTTGGCTACATATTACCTGTTTTTTCTCTGGCCAGAAGTTCGATGGCAAATCCTCCCTCTTCAAGTTGGCGATCCAACGACCAACCCGTCCGTGGAGGATCAGGAATCAGAAAGGTGGAATAACTCTTTTTTTTTTTTTACTTTTACCCGATGTATTCCAGCATCCAGCTGCCATGCACGTGGGCATTGTCAGTTTCACTATAGGTCTGGTGAATTTCAATGGTGAAGTCCTCTGGAAATCTTCAATATTTTTTGTTGATTGCAGATGTGTCTAGTAGTTCCCATTGATTTAGCTTGTAAAGCGGGGAGAATGGCGCTAGGCTTACCGCACCGTGACGTCACTGCTGGAAGATGGCAGGAGGGAGGGGTTACTATATTTGGGCAAAAATGGCCGCTCCCAGACTCAGTGATCGCGAAGAAAATTAGTGTTTTAATTTTGTTACTGATTAAAGCTAAATTCATTAAATCATCACAAACGTATTAGTTTTAGGTATAAATAAGGATCCATTGATTATTCCTTGTGAACTGGACTTTTCCTTTAAACATCTACAAACTTTAAAATTTACAAATGGCTTTGAGTTATAGTTTATAGTTGAGAGGTTTTTGGAAGATGCTCTCAAAATTATATGTATTAAATAAAAAAGTTCATGTTAGTCATAGACTTAACTTGGAATAAAGAACATTTCTGTCAAAACTCAAGTTGGATCAAAATGTGTGATTTTTTTTTTTTCTCTAAATGAAGTTACTTTGTTTTAAAATTATATTAATTCCACAAAAAATTAAAATTTACAGGAAAGGCAGATCAATCAAGGTTTCTTTCATTCGCATTATCCTGTAAAACTGTCTCTTCTTTCATATTTTCCAAGTGCGCCCAGCTGCATGTGAAAGTGTCTGTGTGTGTGTGTGTGTGTGTGTGTGTGTGTGTGTGTGTGTGTGTGTGTGTGTGTGCGAGCTCTGCTTGATGAAAATCATGAGACCGTCATGAGATTCCTGCTTCCACTCAGACTGCTGGAATAAATAAATCCCTGATTCAGCCCCCTCTCTGTGGGCTGTGGAAGTTCAAACCACTCGGCTCTTGTGACTAAATTATAAACAGATCTCTTACAGGGGTCATCAAATGAAAAGCAGTCTTGGGCTTTCCTCCAGCGAATGTCACCGCTGCCGACAAACGATTCTCGGATTAAAGTGTCAGCGACATACTTCGCTGATCAAATGTGTCGCTCCGGTCTGAGCTTTATACGATCGGGCAAATAGGAGATCTTCAGTTAGACTGGGAGGAAGAGTGGGGAAAAAAAATGATATGAATGAAACTATTCAGGGAAGTGGCAAAGTCTTGTCAGGGATGTCTCTTTTTTTAAGCAGACTGAAAAATAAATCTCCTGCTACAAAATCTTCCCCTTACTTTCCCCTGTCACTGCTGCTTCTAAACAAACCGCCATCTGTTTCTGCTGATTGGTGCTGGTTTGGCTGAAGCCGCTGAGACATTCTGACTGCTGTTGGCTTTCCAGGCCACAGGGTCGACAGCCAGTTACTGCCCCTAGAGCCACGGCAGAGAACACAGCTGCTTTATGCATCCAGGCTGCATTTGCATAAGCGTTTTCTAAATTAATGCACGGGAAAGGCATTTTGAAAATGTGTTGTGGGTAAATTCCAACACTCCTCTTATAGCTGTGGCTCTTTGAAAAAGTCTTGGTTCTGTTTGTGTTTCTTTTTCCAGAAAAGCTTAATATGAAGCCTAATGTTTCAAAATAGCAGGATTTAGTGACAGCAGCGTTTTGCACATATACAATCACATAAACCAATACGGGTAGACTGGACAGTTTCATTACATGTACCAATATTCCTCTCATAGGATTGCAAGACTGCAAGTTTTTTTGATTTTATTTGTTTCTTTAGTTTGTTCCGTAAAAATTCAAAAAATATCCACTGGACTTGGTTTCCAAGATTTGAAGACGTTTGCCACCTCTCCAGGAAGCTTTCTCAATTCTTTAGTTTGGTTTGAACTGTATTTTGTGTTCATTAGCGCCTCCTGTGGTGGTATAGCTGCAATAGCGTCTCAAATTATTAGCTATTTTAAACTTAAAATCAGAATCAGAAATACTTTAATAATCCCAGAGGGAAATTACTTTTGTTACACACTCCAGTTACAGTTTTATAGTATATAATATATACACACATCCAACTACACAATATAATATAGATAGAAAATAAGAATAAAAAGAGATAAAATATATACACATATAGCTCTTCTGTATATATATATATATGTACGTATATCTATGCATATGTAAAAATTAAATCCAAATAAAGTGAAAATCCAAGTAAAGTGAAAATCCAAGTAAAGTGATAAATCCAAATAAAGTGATAAATCCAAGTAAAGTGATAAATCCAAATATAGTGATACATCCAAGTAAAGTGATAAATCCAAGTAAAGTCAAAATCCAAGTAAAGTGATAAATCTAAATAAAGTGATAAATCCAAGTAAAGTAATAAATCCAAGTAAAGTGATAAATCCAAGTAAAGTGATAAGAGAAGAAGATCCAAAACTCAATACAATTATTCCACTGTAAAAACAACCAAGAAATAAGTAAAAATGTCTTAAATTAAGCATACTTAGCCTAATTTGAGCAGGTAAATATAGTTATTTGCCAATGGAATATGTTTTTATTTACTACTTTGATAAAATGCACTTGAAATAAGCAGTTTTTTATTATTATTTTAAAAGTAAATTGTCTTGTTCCATTTAGTCACTCACTAACTTCCTCAATTCAAGAAAAAATGCATTATTTTAAGAAAAAAATTACTAATTGAGATTAAATTTTTTTTCGCAATGTATTGTATTAAGTCTAATGCAAAGTACAAATATGATACAGATATTAACTATTTATCCAGTTATCACTGGAGAATGCCATGAAAATGGACGTGGATCCAGTGATGCAAATATATCAGAAGTTTGGACCAAATGCTATTGATATGAACCCATTAACTAAAAAAAATAAAATTCAATAATGTGGGGAGAGTTAGGAGCTTTTCTTTAAAATATAATGGAATTTCAGACAGTTTTCAGTGTTTTGGCATTACAGTGTGTGACCTGGCATTGTAGCCGCCTGCCCTGTATGGCCAGTTTCTACCAAACTGGTTCCAGTGTTAACCATCTCTGCTGATCTGGTCCAGGGTGTTTGCTTATGGGGAAACAGAAATTTAGGGCGGAATATTTAAACCTTATCAGTTGAATGCGTGTTTAGAAACAACGGCATCATATTCCACTTTCACTTCATCTCATTAAGTCTCGACATTGCAGAGTGAGGTGTGAATTATTTATCAGCACTCTCGCATTAATACTAAAGGGGTCGGCTTAATCCTCCGGCTGCAAGCTTCAGTTGGCAATAAGTCAGGTAAGGAGTAACCCTCAGTGGCTAGAAGGACTCATTAACATGTCTTCAATGTTTATCAGCTTTGTCCGTCAAGAATATTTAACACTCGGAGACGGTGTTCTGTCACATGGGCATACCTGATCAGACCAGCCATGGTCAATACCCGTTTATCCCTTTAGTTTTGTACAAAAAAATTAACTTTAAACCACCTTAGCGCGAGTTTATCCCTTTATTCATGTACAAAAAACAATTTAATTGCTTACTTTTTGGTGTTTTTTGAAGCATATGGTGATCTGACATTTAACAGTTTCTTTTGAACATAAGTAATACACACCCATTGAGGTAGTCTTACGTCTATTTTACGTACAAAACAAAAGGGATAAACGCAAATCGGAAGCCTTGAGCATGCATAATGACTATGGGTATGCTGGTCTGACAGAACGCCGGCCTCAGGTATTAGTGAAATAAGTGACTGCTTAGGGACCCAGGGTAACTAAGGGGGCCCTCAAGAACAATTCATTGTTTAACAATTAATGCTTTTGTACAAATAAAGAAAAAAAAAACACAATTTTAGAGTAAAATAGGTTTTAGTTTTTTTTACGTCAATA